ATTGACTCGTGTTTTTCGTGTCAATTTCAGGTTGACCCAATTCTGATCCGAACCTCTTTTTTCTCAACCCTAACCCACGAAATTCGTGTCGTTTTCGAGTCGTGTTATCGTATCGTGACTCATATTGCTGACCCTAATATTAGTAGCGTCATCACGTTTTATTTTGGAATTATATTTAGCAAACCAATAAAAGGTCATAATTTCAACATCATAACAGATAATAAAATCCAATTTATAAATGATAAATTAGAGAGTTTTGATAGATCCTCTTTCAAAGTTTATGGTGTCACTAGACGTGATTAACTAAATGAGAATTCGCATATTAACTTTGATACGTCTTGTCAAAAAAAATTGAATGTCAATTTTGTTAGGTGGACATGCCATACACGTAACGTTCAGGGGATAGTTCTTGTCTTGTTTTTTAGTTGTGCCTATGTGGTATTCTTATCGTAGCCTGTCTCGTCTATATAATGTGGCATGACTTTTCTAAGACTGAATTTTTGGTTGCGTCTTTTACGTGACATTTATTCTTCACTTATCAAACATTCAATACATATTTCATAATATATATATATATATATATATATGAATTGTCTCAGTGCCTACCGAAATGATAGTTATATAATTTTATATAAATTATGTATTTTATATGTAAATTGTATATATTTATTTATAAAATTGTGTATATTTAATATGAAATACAATAAAAATAAATCAATTAATATACATATTTTCATGTTATGTGTTCACTAATTACTATTAATAATACATATTTTGAGGATTAATATAAATTATTGTTTTTTATAACTTAACATACACGACTTTACATGTAAATATACACGATTTACATATAAATATATACAATTTATACAGAATTATACATTACCGTTTCAGTCAAACACTTTCTAAATACCTTATCAGAGACCTTATCTGTGTGTGTGTGTGTGGCATCAGGCATGTGACCTTTCCTGGATAGTTGGATTTTCCCACAACTCTCTTCTCTTGCATCACATTTTGAACTTACCCTTTTCCCCCCTCGTTCTGCTGATCTTTAACATTTTTCAATAGAACAAATAGCTTAATTTTACAACTTTTTTATCCAATAAATCAAATTTTTTGTTTATGTTCTTTCTATGTTATCTTTTCAAGACTTCTCATTTCAAATAATTTGAACTTCCAACTTTTCTTTCGCTTTCCTAATCTTAACGTTTCATTATATATGTGAGTTCTTATTTTATCCTCAGTAGTTACCCATTAAAGATACAATTTTAAAGATTATTATCACTTGTGTTCTTAAATTTTCTTTCAAATAATTTGAACTTCTACAAACTTAAAGCCAACTTTTCTTTCGCTTTTCTAATCTTAACGTTTCATTATATATGTATATAGGTCAGTTTTTATTTTATCATCGGTAGTTACTCATTAAAGATAAACTTTTAAAGATTATTATTACTTGTGTTTCTGAATTTCAGCGTTATTCTCAATTTACTTTTTAAAATTTTAATACTCTCACTTTGCCTCTAAATTTAAATTGTTTTCATTTAACCGTTTTTATTGTAATTTTGTCTTAAATATATATACACACGTATATACATATATAAGAATAATATAGTTACTGTCACATAGTCGATATGTTTGAATTTCTGTCACGTAGTCAAAATTCAATGGATAGAGTGAGAGTTTTTAAAGTTTAGGATAGCAAAATAAAAATAACATGATCAGTAAAATTAATCTAAAATTTAATGATGTTGTGTGATAAATATCTAATCTCCTTAATTGTAAAATATTTTTTTATCAACTACTCAATTTATTTCAACTGCGTACCAAAGTTATATGATTAAAATAATAATACTCACTAATAAATGGATATTGGAGTAACCACTGATATATATATATATATATATATAATCTTAACAATTTTCTTTGTGTACTTTCTAATTGCAATATATTTTTTTATCAACTACTCAATTTATTTCAATTACGTACCAAAATTATATGATTAAAATAATAATACTCACTAATAAATAGATATTGGAGTAACTGAAAAAAAAAAAATATATATATATATATAACCTTAACGATTTTCTTTGTGTACTTTCTAATTAGCAATCATAGTATAAAAGGGAAAGGAATTGAATGAAAGCAAGCATAATGTTCACTCTTACGATGATTTGTGTGTTAAATACAGAACAAATCCATAATAAAGAAGATTGGTACTTTCCCGTAAAAAAATAAAGTTGTGTACGAAAAAAGCTGAATAGAGTTTCATAATTATGACTTGTTCTTTTGAGTGAAAAACTCAAAAAAATACAACTCGAGTTATAATTTTATTTGAGTTTATATTCTTTTAAGTTTAAACTCGAGTTCAAGTTTCTCCTTAAATTCGAGTTCAGAAACTCGAACTCAAATTAATGAACAATATTTTTTCTATTCTTAAAAATGCTATAACTTTTTCGTTTTAATTCTGATTAAGATGATTTTTTTTCTATGCGTTGACAATGAAAAGACGAATAAAACCCAACCCATATACCCTATTAAAATTTTTCATTAGCATTGAGTTTTCATTAAAATACTATCTAAATACAAATTCAAGTTTTGACTCACTCAAACACAAACTCAAAAAGATTCTTATCTCAAATCATAACTCAAATGTACACAATCAAATACAAACTCAAGTTACAAATTCAACTCAAATTATAACTCAAATTTAACTCAAGAATTCTACTCAAGTTAAACTCTAAAAAAACAAACCCTAAATTCCATGATAAATAGAAACGAGGCACCAAAGGATTCTTCCTTCCAAATTGGCATGCCAAGTAAAAGTGGATATTTTCCATTGCATTTGGTAAGACCCAAATCCATACATACTTACACAAAACTCATATAAATCAGGTTATTAACACTGTTAATCATAACTATAAGATTAGTGGCACTTTTTTACTCATTGAATTTTTGTTTTGTGACAGTTTTAGTCCTCAATATTAAAATTATAGTTATGAAATTTAACATAAGTGATCATCCATCTCATGATAAATTAAAATTTGTACAAAAAAAAAAAAAAAGTTACATTCAGTATAAAATGTTCTTTTCATGAATATCAAAATCTTTGAAAACTAAAATATTTTAAATAAATTGTAATTACGTGCGAAAAATTTTCAGTAATTATGCAACAACAATGTGTAGTTAGAAATTTAGACTTTTTCTTCGGTTTCTTAAGAAAAACAGTCATTTTAACGTAACACGTAATTATAAAAATATAATATGATAATTATTTATTAAACATAATATTTTAAGTAATATAGTCTTTAGATAAATAAATTCTTTAGTATTACTTCTCTTTAAAATTAATAATATATTTAATAATTATCATGTTATATTTTTATAATATATTAGAAGGAGTTTCCACCGGAAGAAAAGACGAAAAAAAGACCTCATTTTAACTTCTAATTCTCCACCCCCAAGTTTATATATAATAATAATAAAAAACATTATTAACTACATAAAAAATAAAAAAGTGCATAAATTAGTATTACAGAAATCATATTACTGCCACACTTCCGGTTACACTTTTAACAATCAAACTCTAGATTACACTTTAAGTCCTGTGTTTATTTTGCCGATTCAAATTTTATTACAGTAAAAAACTCTCATAAACAGTCATATTTAGGGATTGTTCTTTTGAAGTTTAACTTGAGCATAATTCTTGAGTTGAATTTGAGTTATAACTTGAGTTGAACTTGTACCTTGAGTTTGTGTTTAGTTGTATATATTTGAGTTATGGTTTGAGATAAGAATCTTTTTGAGTTTGTGTTTGAGTGAGTTAAAACTTGAATTTGTATTTAGATAGTATTTTAATAAAAACTCAATACTGATGAAAAATTTTAATAGGGTATATGGGTCAGGTTTTATTCATCTTTTCGTTGTCAACACATAGAAAAAAAAATCATCTCAATCAGAATTAAAACGAAAAAGTTATAGCATTTTTAAGAATATAAAAAATACTGTTCATTAATTTGAGTTCGAGTTTCTGAACTCGAGTTGAAAGGAAAACTTGAACTCGAGTTTTAGTCATAAACTCGAGTTTGAACTCGAGTTTAAACTCAAGTTTAAACTTAAAAGAACATGAACTCAAATAAAGTTGTAACTCGAGTTGTCTTTTTTTGAGTTTTTCACTCAAAAGAACAAGCCTTTAATTTTTTTAATTTTTTTAATTATAGTAAAAAGTTCTCACATAATATCACATCACAATTTAAATTAAAAATTTAAATTAACGAACTAAACGAGCTCTTAATTTTACTCCCGACACTCTTTTCAAACTGGACACGAGTTTTTTATTTTTTAATGAATGGTTTTTTGCTATGAGTTGCAACTTATTGACACTGTTTAATTTAATGAAGCACTTTGAAAGAAAAACTTGTGACACATTTCAAAAAAAAAAAAAAAACATAGGTCCCGTTCACTTCGTTGATTCGAATTTAGAATTCGAGTTTTTTTACAGTAAAAAACTCTCACAAACAATCACATCTAATTTTTTTACTACAGTAAAAAACTCTCACATAAAATTATATCTCAACTCAAATTCTAAACTCGAATCAACGAAGTGAACGGACTTAAAGTTTCTCTCTCTCTGTCCCCCTCTCTCTCTACTCTTTCCAAGTACTTGTATTTATTGTTTACCCAAAAGAAAAAGAAAAAGAAAAAAAAAAGTATTTGCATTTGTTGTGTGTGTGTGTGAGAGAGAGAGAGTTTTACAGCACGAAATTTTCCAGAAAGATACTAAAAATAATCCAATATACAGCAAGATTTTTCTTCCCATATATAATCAGCTAAAGAAAAAATAAATAAAAATAGAAGAAAAAAGAAAAATAAAAGAAGAAAAGATGCGATGTGACCTAGTCCTATCACAGTCTCCACGCTCATAGTCGGCTAACAGCACACTATTTAATTCAGCTGCTATATATATAGCATATTTCGTCGTACTCCTCTGTAATTCACACAACAATACTCCATCTCTCTCTCTCTCTCTCCGTCCCCACTACCAACTCTCTCTCTTTCTCTCTCTTAACGCTTCCCAAACCCTAACACAATAACTCTTCTTCTTCATCTTCTTCGTTTCCTGCCATGTGATTACTGGTTTTTCATCAGAGCATCGTCTTCATCTTCATCAAAATATCTCTTGTACTGATATCAGAAATGGCCTCAGCCTGCGTCAACAACATCGGAGTCTCGCCGGAGAGTTTCACGGCGACATATCCTTCCTACGGCTGGCTCAGCCCCCGAATCTCCTTCAGCCGCGAGCTCCCCAGCGAAAACGACACCGAACAATCGCCAAACGACGCCAACAAGAAGAAGTCGTCGTCGTCTTCTTCTTCTTCTTCTCCTACGCCGGCGGACGATCTTCTGCCGCTAGATCCGGCTGATTTCGAGTTCCGCCTCGAAGATCCCGTCGCCATGCTCCCCGCCGACAAGCTCTTCTCCGACGGAAAGCTCGTTCCTCTCCACCTTTCCTCGGTCAAACCATCTTCCTCATCGGTCAACGATACAGCCTCCCCGGACACTCGCCGGAGATCCGAAATCTCCGGCAGATCGGATCCATACCTGTTCTCTCCCAAAGCTCCGAGGTGCTCAAGCCGGTGGAGGGAGCTCTTAGGGCTGAAGAGGCTCTACAACAACACTAACAATAACCCTAAGGCGGAGAGCAACAAAACGGCGGCGTTTTCTTCTGCTAGTTCTTCGTCTTCTTCTTCGAAGCCGTTAAAGCTTTTCCTCCACAGGAGTTCGAAATGGTCATCTTCATCGTTATCATTGTCGTCGTCTTCGTCGTTTTCCTCGTCCGACTCGTTGCCTCTTCTGAAGGACTCCGACTGCGAGTCCGTTTCTCTCTCCTCCTCCCGCCTCTCTCTCTCCTCCTCCTCCTCCGGCGGCCACGAGCACGACGATCTCCCGCGCCACTCGCTCGACTCCGACAAGCCAAGTACCAACATTCCGATCTCTCTCCACCGTAACCCTAACAATCCTCCGCCGCCGAGAATGCGCGTGGTGAAGCAGAGATCGTCGGTGGACCATCCGCCGGCTGCAGCGGCGAGGGCGGGGCGGAGTCCGATCCGGCGGCCGGCGGGGGAGTCTTCGTCGACGAGCAGAGGAGTCTCGGTGGACAGCCCTAGGATGAACTCCTCGGGAAAGATTGTTTTCCAGAGCTTGGAGAGAAGCTCGAGCAGTCCGAGCAGCTTCAATGGCGGTCCGAGGTTTAAGCACCGAGGCATGGAAAGGTCGTACTCGGCGAATGTAAGAATCACTCCGGTTCTCAACGTCCCCGTCTGCTCCCTCAGAGGATCGTCCAAGTCCGGTTCCGTATTCGGATTTGGACAGCTCTTTTCGGCGCCGCAGAAGAGATCAGAAGGGAACAACAATGGCGGTGGAGGAGGAAGCAACCGAAGCCACGGCGGCCATAGCCACGGACACGGGCACAGCAGGAACCGGAGCGAACGAAACTGATCAAATAACCGACCGAACCGAACCGAACCGAGAACGAATTGGATGGTAATGTTTTAACGCGGCTCTTGTTTTTGTTCTTGTTTTTGTTTTCTAATTCAGTAAAGGAAGTTAAGTTGGCATTTCCATTATTTCTATTAGAATTTTAGATGTAAATATGCAATGGATTGAGTTTTTTCTCTTCTTTTTTTTTTTTTTTTTTGGTTCAATCAATTGTTGTTCGTTTGCGGGGTAGTTTGTTGGAACATTCTGTGCCCTAACTGTTTTTAACTTAAGCTAAAAAGCTAATGTTGTTAAAGATTAGACTGTTGTTGTTACTGTTGGGTCTTATTTTTCTTCTTGTTCACAATGATCATGATGATCTTTTTCGTTCTTTCATTGCCCGGAAAAGTTTGATTGGGAAAAAATCTTCTAAACAAACGACGTTTGTGCTACACGCGCCTCTTGGTGGGCCATTTGATGTTTCAGCATGTTGAGCTTGAGCTTATCTAATCTGTCACTATCCATCAATTATATTATATATTTTTTTCTTTTTCTTTTCATAATTTTTTTTTTCTTGCTATTGATGATTTGTTGTTTTGTGTAAAGTTTGGGAAATGATGCCAAGATTCAAACAGTTGATCAGAGACGCCAGCTATGCTTGCTCTTTTAGTAGTTTTTTTTTTTTTGCTTTATGCTTTATCATGTTTTTAATTTTTAATGAAGATTTAATTTCTAATCATAAATTAATAGATTGATGGGACTGATCTGCCTGATGGTCGGTGGTGGACCACATTTGGGTTATTATTAGGACTAAGTTTATGATTTTAATTTTATTATAATATTTTTTTTACAAAAAAATTAAAATTTAAATAATAAAATTAAGAATAATTGATTTAAAAACATTAAGAGGTTATTTAGTTGGGGGATTCGTCCTTTTATTCGAATCATAATTCATAATTTGTTATAGTATTTTAATCACATGATTTTAATCCATAAACTAAACGCCTTATTTAGTTGGGGGATTCGTCCTTTTATTCGAATCATAATTCATAATTTATTATAGTATTTTAATCACATGATTTTAATCCATAAATTAAACGCTTCTTAATTAATCGGGTAAGGTTTAAGCATTGCAGGCAAGTCTTGAGAATTAAATAATTCAATAAATAATGTACTTTATGTAGTACTGAAATGAATGTGCATTTATTGTTGAGTATCTTGTCCTAACTATCTTCTTCCTCTGTTATGTTGCTTTCCCATTTTACTCCGTGTTTGTTTTGTAATAATAATTAAGTGTGCATTTAGTTTATTAATTTAAATTTTTAATTTGAGTTGAGATGTGATTTTATTTAAAAAATTTTTATTATAATAAAAAAATTAAATGTGACTATTTTTTAAAATTTTTTATTGTAATAAAATTTAAATTTTAAATTCGAATCGGTAAACAAGACTGAGGCGTTTGGTAGAGGGATTTGTTCCCTGATTCGAATCATGATTCGTAGTTCGTTATAGTATTTTCTCTCATAAAAAATACACGTAAATCGAAAATAATTTGAATTACATGATTTGAATCTTTCAATTAAACGAACTCTAAATATAACGCTGTTGGGGCTAAAGTATAACTATAACTTAATTGAATTTGCCTTTTTTCTTTTTCTTTGAATGTTTCTTCAAAAATATCACAATTGTGAATGTGAAGTTTCCTTAATCGGTAATCGTTTTGACTCTTTTTGTCACAAAAGAAATATTATCATTTGACTCTGGTCAATTGAAGTATTTTTGGGTCATTCTTTTTTGGCATGGAAAGACGGGAAAAATACTCAAATAAGGGTATTTATTCGAGGCTTTTTTTTTTTGGTTGAAAATTTGGCTTAAACCTGCGAAAATGGGAAGAACCGATTTCCGTAATACGTACCTAATTGTTTATTTATTATTATTATTATTTTTAATATTATTGCTATTGTTAAATGAACTCCAAGCCAAAAATGGGAAACTTGGCATGAACTAAAAGCTTATGAAATGTTTGTTTTTTTATTCATTTTTTATTTTAAATAATTATTTATAATTTTTTTAAAAAAAAATACATAAAACGAGAATGATTATAAATTTTACTTAATGTCATTTTCCTTTTAAAAAAAAAGGTCACATTAATCATTAACAACGGCATGTAGCATAATATACCGCCATAGGCGAAGGTACGTACAAATGGATGATACGGCGTCGTTTTCTGGCCTTCAAATTTATTGGTTTTTATTTGACGACACGAATTTTTTTTTTCAGTCTTGTGCGACGAGAAACGTTCCCAACGGCCAAAGTCACGGCGGAGCCTTGTAGTTGGAGAATATTGTGTAGAGTAGTCACTCTCTTTTTCCATGTCTATTCACATTTCACGCTTTGTTATTTGTCAGCCTAATGCCCTTTATCGTTTCTTCCTCGCAATTCGCACACTAAAATAAGCCTACCCAAAAAATAAATAAATAATAATAATAATACAAAAATAAAATTAATTTCATTCGTTTTGTTAATTCGAGTTTAAAATTTAAGTTGAGATATGATTTTATGTGAGAATTTTTTACTGTAACAAAACTCAAATTTTAAACTCGAATCAGCAAAACGAACGATGTCAAAAATATAATAATAATATTTTGTGTATACTCGTGAATCCTCTCATCCATAAACAAAAAAAAATTGCCCGTTATCCTCTCCCTACGCCCAAGGCCAAGCCTCTCTTTTAGATCCGTCTTTTATTTAATTAGACTATAATTTTTCCATGCAAAATATGAGAATTATACCATGCTATTATAATATAATGTTCTCCACGGATTTTAAGATTTATTGAAATTATATGTAGGTTTGACCAACAGATCTTTGCTGACCTTCTTGGGACCCCATAAATTTTAATTTTTTGTGTGCCATTTATGGGATTTTTGCCTTTGTTGGGGCAGAAGTGAAATGGGTCTCATTCCCCACAACTTTCCCAATGCGTCTATAATGTTTATTGCCACTTGTCATTTTTGCAGGTTGCACCCATGACCCCATCCCATGCACCAACCCTAAAAATGCCACTGTTGACAAGAAATATCTAGTTGGACGATATACCGAAAA